CCTACATCTGATGGTGGAACATCTTCCTACATCTGATGGTGGAACATCTTCCTACATCTGATGGTGGAACATCTTTCTAGTTCCGACCTGAACTGTGTTTCAGGGTGATTTGTATGAACTGCTTTTACTTTAGTGTCGTATTTCATGGTTTTTATCTTGCATTTCATCCCGTTTTATGAAGCTAAAGCCGTCCGAGTCGTCGTCGCTCACCTCTCTGGGCGTGCGGTCCACTTTGGGGGCGGAGTCTTGCTGCATCAGGAGCTCCGATTTGATTGGCCGCGGGTTGGGTGAGGCCTGCAGTGATTGGATGGTGAAGGTGGAGTAGAGGCCTGACTTCATGTAGTCGTTTCTGGAGCTCTTCTGGGAGCTGCTGGGCGACGAGCGCTGCTGGAATCAATCGATCAATCAATCAATCAATCAATCAATCAATCAATCAGTCAATTTGGAACATCAAAGCATGTGAACGTTTTCTGATTAAAACCCCCCAAATGAAGGGACACACCTGTGATATGAGCTCGTTAAGGTAAGTGATAAGAACAACATTCAAAGATGACTGTACCTGCGGTAAGCCCTTTGACGGACAGGTTGAGGCCACGCCCCCGAGACCTTTTGATTGGCTGTTGGGGTCGGTGATGTCCCTCCTCTGACCCTCCTCTGCACTGCGGACGCCGTCAGGTAAGGACGGGTCGGGCTGACTCACAAACTTGTAGACGAACTTCTGGCCGCTCACCTTCTTTATGATGTTCTACGGACAGCAGTGACAAATAGGGCAGTTCTGTTAGTACTTCTGTCAGTAGTTTGTTTGTAGTATTGTCAGTACTTTTGTCAGTAGTCTGTGACGGTCGCATTTTGAGTAGTTTTGTTGATGGTATTGTCAGTTGTCTGTAGCATTCCTGGTTGTATCATCGGTAGTTTCATTGGCAGTATTGTCAGTAGCACTGTTGGAAATTTTGTCTGTGGTGCTGTCAGTCATCGTAGGTGGTTTCATCAGCAGTACTGTTGGTAGTGCCATCAGTAGTTCTGTTGTTAGTATAGTCAGTAGTTTTATGAGTGGCTTAGTCAGTAGTGGTAGTATTGCTAGTAGTATTACCAGTATTGCCAGTATTATTGGTAGTTTTGACAGCTGAGGTAGTACTTTTGGTAGTTTTAACAGTTTAATAGTATTACTGGTAGTTTTGCCAGGAATGGTAGAATTGTTGGCAGTTTTATGAATACTTTGTTTGTATTTATACTAATGTTGTTATATCTGTGGAACCAGTAGTATTGTTGGTAGTTTTGTGGAACCGGTGGTATTGTCGGTATTTTTTCCAGTAGTGGTAAACTGCGGGTAGCTTTGTTTCTACTCTTAGTATGTTGGTATTTTTGTTGGTACTGCTAGTATTGTTGGTAGTTTTGTCGTTAGTACTGTTGGTGTTATCAGTTTTATGGTCAGTCGTACTGTCAGCAGTGTTGCCAGTGGTATGTTAGTAGTACCATCGTAGTACCTTGTCGTAGTAGTATCTGAGCGCCCGGCTCAGCTTGTCGTAGTTCATGTTGTGCTTGTTCTTGCGGAGCCCCCACAGCCGAGCCACCTCCTCAGCATCCAGCAGCTTGAACTCTCCGTCCTCACCTGTCCAGGAGATCAGGTGACGCTGCCGCTGGTCCTCCAGCAGGTGGAGCAGGAACTGCCACAGCGTGATGGACGGGTCCATGGCTGCAAGAACACACAGGTCTCATATTTAACACTCTGATGCTTTACAAAACAGATGCTCCTGACACATTCATCCAGGTGTGTTTATTCACGAGCAGGTAAATGTTCAGACGGGCTACAGGCCGAGCTCTGCGCTGATGAAGTGCCTCAGTCTGAGTGGGTTAGAGAGAGCCAGCAGAGCTCTGAGGAGGTCGACATTAAACAGATTACAGCCAGTCAGCCATGCAAATCACCTGTTACACAACGAACCTATCAGACACCTTGGAAACCATCACCATGGTGAGACCTTTCATCATCGGTTACCATGGGAGGAGGACGGAGGCACAAACATGATGGAGGATGGAGGCTGCTGCTGCTCAGAGGCACTTCAGCAGCTTCTTTAACGACAGTCTGCAGCATCATCGATCAACAATCGATTTACGATAACTCCTGAAGTGAGTCTACGTTATACGACAGGTGAAGACATCTTCAACCAGCAACAGGTGACATTAGCCACAAACTGTTGGGTTACATCCATCACTCAGCTGTAGGAACGACCTCCATCAGCTCTGGTTGGAGGTCCTGAACCTCCTCAGAGTCTCTGTCATGGTCCCGTTGCTGCTAAATTCCCACAATGCTCTCTGCTGCCACCATGAGCTGTAGTCTGAGTGACGCCTCCTCAGCTGCCAACTACTATTATTTTATGACGCCATTTAGAAACTCAAACTAGAGGGTCTAAACACACATGAAAACTCACCAAAATCGCCACACACACCAGGACTCGCGAAAATTTCAATATTTTAAAGGACTTGAACATCTCACTGCCAAAATGGCTCCACAGCGCCCCCTTGAAAAGCTCAACGGAGTCCCATTGGAAGCATGTTTGACCTGCAGCAGGGGTGGGCAACCCGCAGCTCTTCCATCCTTCTGCTGCGGCTCCTCGTGGCTTTGGAAAATAAATAATGAGTATTTTAATTTAAATGTATTTTATTTTAGCTCGTTAGTTTTTAAAATGTAATTCTAAATTTGAGGATTTTTGTGAACTTGTAACATTAAAATAAAACGTGTTTAACTTTTTGTCGCTCGAAATGTGCGTCACGCCCGCCGATGTGCGACACAAAATCTATCTCCTCCTCGGTGGAAGGTTGAACACACCTGAAATTTGGCCAGCGCAAACTACAGGACGTGGTGATTAAAAGGTATTAAAATCTTCAGCAAAAGTCTGACGGCGTGGAAATGGCGGCCCGCGCAATTTTGATGAAAGGCCATTTTGCGCATTTGCGCTGCGTTTCCGGCGTTCAAAGTAATCCTGTCAGAAGGCCGTTTCAACTAGGCCTACAAAGTTCAGTGGGCATGTGTGGCAGCTCAGGACGCACAAAAAAGTCAATTAGCACCAAGCCCTAAACCCAACAGGAAGTCCGCCATTTTGAAAAAGCAGGTATCAACGCCATCAAACAGGATGTGCTGTGTAACTGGCTTGTGCGTGCTCCGATCTGCCTGAAATTTTACAAACCTGCTCAGAGTCCAAACCAGAGCGCATTGCCAGCACGTCACACCACACACGCCGCCTCCGCTCGCCATTAAACAGGAGTTAGCGTTTTTTCAACAAAACAGGAACGTGTGTGGAGATACAGATTTTGACGATGCTGCTGTCTTTTATCTCGATCACTGAGTTTGATAGAAAACGACTGCAGAGGAGTTGAGACAATCGATTGATCTTCTCGCTCAAGACAACACACGACTGACACAATCGCCCGTCGGTGGTTGTTTCCTGTCAAACGTGCCTCTTGTGTATTTATGTACACGCGTGTGAAATGAACAGGCCATGCTCCATGTGACCGTCACCTCGTGTAGCGCTCTTCTGCCCCGTTGGATTGCTTCCTAAGAGCGACAGACTGCCAACCAGCCCCTGACTCTGCACTGTGTCTGTCCTACAAGGATGCTGAATCCAGGTGTTGTTGCTCTGTTGTGTTTCTACGACTGTGTTGTGTCGTGGGTCGGTTGTTGCACCGATGTGTGCGACGATGGAAACGATTCTGTTTCACATCACAGTGAAGTGAAAGGCTTTAGTTTATTTTCAGTTTGTTGTTGTTCCTTTCTCACAGATCGCTGATAGCATCAGTTGGTGGGGGTGAAGCGAGCAGAGAGAAGCCACCGGTCGGCTCACTTTCTTCACCACAGGAGGAGAATGTGGTTTCCCGACCACGTCCTGTTGCTCTGCGATTCCTCTGCTTCCCGTTTGACTGTAAAACAAATCAGCAGTGACGAGACGCGAAGACACGTCGAAGACCTCGACACAATCGAGTGATCGATTCATTCAGATCTGAGTCTGACGTGAAGAACCAGCAGAGGGAAGCTTCGTGTGGAGCCCCGACGGCAACTTCTGAACACGTAAACAACGACCAGACAACAGCAAAACAACGTCATCACGTCACCTACATGATGCCCACTGAAAGGTCCAGTCTGAACAGAGTCGCAGACTTTATCGGCTCCACATCTACAAAAAATAACCAGTGTAACAGAAAACAGTCCTTCTCTAATTCCACAGCAGGAACATGTGCAGCAACTCAGCTGCACAGAGACATAAGACTACACAAGGAACAGAAGTACTGTAGATGTATGTGACGGTGAACTCATGTCTGGTGATGGTGATGCTGCTAACAGTGACCTGCATGTGAAGCTGTGATGCTGTGATGCTGTAGTCAGGGACGTCTCCTCCAGCAGCGCTTCAAAGGAACCGACTCAGCAGAAGGACACGTTCACCAGTTGGTTCTTCTGAAGGTTCGTTTG